GCTCAAACATTTTTCCATGAAGGAATGTATTATAGACTTTTTGAGCTGCCAATTAAATGGCATTTAGCCGCAGTGGCGGTGGCATGTTGTTCTGGGTCTGCAGGCAGCACTGGCTCATGCTGGAATATCTGGGACATTCTGTTTCAGAGACAGGGTTTGTGCTGGACTGGATTTTCCATCCCTCTGTATTTTCACTGCGGGCATGAAGGATAGCTCCCGTGAACAGCTATTAAATTAATGAATAGTGCAAGGGGCTGGCGGGGCGGAGATCATCATTACGGAGTGTCGGTTTGTGTACACTTCTTGGGCATCTGTCCTCAGTTTGATGGTAACTTTTAAACAATGCTAGCTAAACACTAGGGCATTTTATGAGGTCCATATTTTGTCCTGTTTGGTCGAGGGTGAGGTGGTTTGTCACCAGTTCCATCCTGTAGTTCATTTAGACGTTTGTGAGCGTTTGTGACGTGAGCCTGCCCCTCAGTCGCGTGGCTCAACACACATTTTCTCTAACGGCGAGACCAGGGCTCCCTGCCCCTTGGGCAGGCTCTGCCAGCGCTTGGGCTGTTTGGGGAGGATTTGGGCTCGTTTAGGGGTTGGTTTGGTTTTCATTTTTTTTTACCAGATCATTTATTTGAGACCAGTACATCTCTCCTGAGGTACTTTGTGTCACGGGTCGAACTCTGGCTCAGTCCCCAAGCCGCCTGCACGCTCTCGGGGACACACTGGGGGGGCAGGGGCCGTTGGGCCATTTGGGCCATCAGAGCTGGGGCCGGGCTCTCTGTGGAGGGGACCCCTCCTCACCCCACAGTGAACTGCCAACCCCCTGCTTCCTGCAAGGGAAAGGAGACCACCCGCCGAGTTTTTATTTCCTCTAAAGTTGGCAGCAATTAAGTTGCCACTTCCTCAGCTTTTTGACCCAGAGACTGTCCCAGTTGTTCCCCTGGCAGTGAGACTCCCGTGGTGCAATAAAGGATGCCTGTAACAGGGCAGGCAAAGTCAGAACGTCCCAAGTGAAAAGCCCAGGGCAGCCCCGTGCTCCTTCCCCAGCTTTATGGTGCCAGACCTGCCCAAGGCCTCTTCCTGGGGCTGGCTCTCGGTGTCAGAGCCACCAGGAAGCAGAGTCTTTTCAGAGCTGTTCAGAATTCACAAGACTGAGTGGTGTTTGTTGAAAGGGCAGCCTCAGCTGCTTTAAACTTGCCATTTGCTGCAGAATTCATTAAAACAGTGGCACGGGGAGAGTGAACGCTCACACTCATGGGATGTCTGTGGGAGGCTTTGATCTCAAAGCCCTCCAGCCCCGCGCAGCGCCGACATGGCAATGGTGATGGCTCGTTCCTCAGAGGACTGGTGGGCATGGGGCTGGGGTTTGGATCATTGCCCGGCTGTGGTGAAACACATGCAGCCTGACACCCCAAACAGTGAAGTTCACTCAGGTCTCGCTATCACCATTGGTACATTTTGGCTTGTGCCACGTGCGCAGGAGGCTCATCTGGGCCTGGGCAAGGCAAGGGGACTGTCTGACAGCAGAGAAATGGAGGGGACGTGTCGGGGTCTGCAAAGGGACAGGCAGTCGGCGCGGGGCCACGGGACGATTATTAAAATTTTGTCATGTGTTGGTAATGAAAACATACTGGGCTAATGTAAGTATGCAAATACAGTCAGTGGAGCAGAGTTAATCCCTGAAAAAAGTATTAATATTTTAAAAAATAATTTTTGGCTTCGTGTTCTGACCATTTGTGTTTGCTTTCCTCGGATAGTTTAGCAAACAGGTTTGCTCACAGAAGCACCCACATTTTAACCAGATGTTCGAGAATCCTTGCTAAAAAAATGCCTTTTTAGTGGGTGTTAATAGTAATGAATACCTGTGTTTGCTGCAGAAACCAAGGCCCAGGAGTTGTGCCGGGTCTGACGGAGGGCCGTGGGCCGCGCTCGGTGCTGCCGGGAGGGAGTGGTGCGGGCGGGCAGATTATCGTGATAGCGGCCCTGTCAGTCCCTGTCGGGACCGAACCCGAGCGGTGGCAGGGGCACATCCCTGCCAGTCCTGGAAGATGTCTGCCAGCCCTGCGCGGCGAGCTGGCCGTGGTGGTGCTCCAAAATGATGAGGAGAGCGAGCAACTCCCTCATCCCTCCTGCTGAACTCTCCTGAAAGAAAAATAAATGGATGTGGAACCCCATTGTGCCTAATCAGTGCCTGAGACGCCGGGGACGAGAAGCTGGTGAGGGCCCAGGGACGTGCTCCATCAGCCAGAAACCAGCCAGCCGTGGCATTGGCACGGGGCGAGCCAGGAGTCCCGATGGCCAGGGAGCGGCCACCAACAGCCACCAACCGGGTGGTTTTCAAACCGCCGCGTGGCCAGAAACGAGGCACTGAGCTCGGCAAAAATGGGCCCTGGAAAATGTGATTTATGCCTCTCTTTTGACAGGGCTGTTCTAAATATTCATAATATTTGCAGTTTTGGAAAAAAGCGGTTGTTTTGGCATGCAGTTTGGAATAGAAAAGGAACTTCCAGGCGGACAGAACTGGGGCCGGGTTACTGCCCGGCTGCAGAATGCGCTTTTGTTACTGAAAAACTGCCCCTCTGCAGAGTTTTCAGGAGGTTCACAATGTGGCTGGAGTATTAACTAAAAAAGAAGTGCCTCGGTAATTGTTGGTGGGTTTCAGTGAATGAGCCAAAGGGAATGAAACACAGGGTTACACCGTCAATGGCAAAGTATCGCCATGGCAATGGGTGGCTTTGCCAGGAATAAACAAACAAACAACAAGAGGCCTCTTCTCTTTCAGGAAAAAGTTAGAAAATTGTCTGTTCTCACCTTGCCAAAGTCTGTGCTTTTGGAGATGTCAGAGGGGAGAAGATGGTGCACCCACTTACGCCTGTCCCACAGCTCCAGCTCCCTCCTCAGCTGTACAGTTAGATCATTTCCAGAGATGAAGTAACCTGTGTCCCCAGGGGAAGGCATGGACATTTCTTTTATAATGATTTCAGTGCCTCGGTTAATGCAATCCCGTACCGTTTCCTCACAGATGGCGGAGGGGCTCAGAAATCCCGCTACTCTGTGTCACCCCGAGCTGAAGCCAGCCCTGCTGAGGAGAGGCTGCTGACAGGGGAGATTTCCCAATAAGCAAAAACATGGGTCCACACTTAAATTAATAAAGAGCTTATATAAAAACCCCTCCACACTGCAGAGAGCGAGGGAGCTGAGGAAGCAGGAGCTGCCTGTCTCCCATGGCATCAGTGCCAGGCCGGGAGCAGACCAGGGCCCAGACACCAGGGTGCCCTCCCAGCAGGGCCTTCCGTGGTGTCCCTCCACCTCTGAGGGCTCTCTGGATGTTCCTGGCCGCCCCTAATCCCTCGGAGGATGCTATCCCACCACCGGGTGTGAGCTCTGTGGTCCCACCACGGGGTGTGAGCTCCGTGGTCCCCTCCTGGCCCAGGGAGATGCCTCAGCCACCACCTGGGCAAGGTCTCAGCGGCGCTGCCCGGTGTCCCCATGCCCAGTTTCTCGCAGTTTTGCAGACCCCTGTCACCCTTTGCCATCTTCCAGACGTAGCTTCTGCCTCTGGGCACCCCCTCGGCGTTCCTGCACCGCTCCCAGGGGAGACAGCCATGGATTGAGATCTCCTGGCCTGTGAAGCAGGAGCCGGGGGGCCATGAGGAATCCAAGGAGGGGCAACCAGCAGAGAAGAGGGATCTTTTGGCTCACGGGTATCTCCTGGTGAGAAGAGGGCACCAGCTTGAAGGAGCCAGTAACGAGCACAAACTGTGTTAAGCTTCTGCTCCAGCAGGTCGAGCCCCCTTTGTGATCTGTGGGAGGCAGGCACGCTGCCGGGCCCACGGGCGACTGCCCTGACCTGCCAAAGTCTGCAAAACTCTTCTAACAGCAACCCTGTATCGGAAAAAATAAAACCCTCCCACATGGCTCTGCAGCTATTTGGCATTCATCAGTTTTGTCTTACCGTTCTTTATATAATAACACTTAGGTGCTGCTGAAGTTGCCTATAAAATATTTAAAGCAGCTTACAGTAAGGTCCCCAGGCTGGGGGCTGCATCCTGGGGTATTCTCCTGCAGTTGCAGCCTCCAGACCCTTATTCCATCACCATCTGGCCCTCCCTGGCCCTTCCCAAAGAAGGTCCATTCTTAGCTACAGGTTTAACATAGCTGGTGTTTAAATAGCAGTTTTCTTTTTTTTTTCCATCTAAAATGCTTAAACCAGTCTCCAAGCAAATAATTTTTTTAACTTGAACTTTTAATTAATGCTGCCCATTTGGAACAGCGCTAGATCCCGTTTATTTAACCAGCTCAGAAAGCATGCAACACATCAGAATGGTTTAAAAAAAAAAAAAGGGCCGTTGGGGTCTATTTTGCATGAGAAAATATTTTGTTTAGGAATGACAGTTGTAGGCATTCTCTCATCCATTTTAATATTTTCCATGTGTGGCAGCTCGTTTCTCGGTGGTGCAAATGCGTGTGGCGAGGGCGCAGGATGGCAGGGACCCGGCAGCGCTGGCAGCGATGCCTGCCGTGGCACCAGCGGGTTCCGTCCCCGGGGACAGCTGGCAGGACGGGGGGCAGGACTGCCCCCGGGCCACAGGACCCGCCGAGCCGACGCATCGCTCCCCCCGCTCCCACGCACCCACCCACCCGCACACACCGCGCGGCACTATTTTTGGAGTCGGGGAAAGGGCCTCCCTGTGCAAACAGAAAGCAGCGTATTCCTCAGTTACATCACTTTGCAATCGAATGCCGCGTTGTGCTCAGTGGTTTTGTGGTGATGCAAGTCTTTTTCTTTTTTTTTTTTTTTTTTTTTTTTTTTTTTTTTTTTTTTTTAAAAAAAAAAAAAAAAAAAAAAAAAAAAAAAAAAGTTCTAGGAAAAATATTAAACCC